GCTTTGCACCTGCCTTTTGCGATCACTAGCATAAATCACCATAAATTTTGCATAAAGTAGATGTACAATTTCCATCTAACGATCGTCCTTTAAAAGTAACCTAGTTGACTCAGTCAGATATTCAGCCAAAATTTTAAGTGTCCGTCCGTAAGAACTTCGCGTAAATCAAGGCTGAATTTGAAATACTTAAGTTGTACTTGGACAGAGAACATCCCCCATAAAGTTTCAGCTTTCTATCTTTTCTAGTTGCCGAGTTAGTAATTTTTCCATAGGAAATTTCATAAGTCCTTACGTAAGTACCACGCATAGCTTGGGGCTGAATTTGAAATATACTTGTATTTGTACAGGGAATATTCTTCTAAAATTTCAGCCTTCCAGCTTTTCTAGATACCGAGTTAGCAATTTTTCCGCCAAAAACTTTACATGCCGGTACATGATGCCCTACGTACCTGGAGAGCTGAATTTGAAATTTTTAAATTAAAAGTGGACAGGAAACATCACCCTGAAATTTCAGCCTTCCAGCTTTTCTGGTTGCTGAGTTAGTAATTTTCTTGTAAAAACTTTCATACGACCTTACGTGAGTACCGTGCATAGCTGGGGGCTGAATTTGAAGCATTTCAGTTGTACTTCGATTGGGAACATTCCTCCAAAATTTCAGCTTTCTAGCTTCTCCGGTACCCTGAGTTAGCAATTTTCCCTCTAAAAATTTCAAGCGCTCTTGCTTGAGTACCACGCATACCTGGGGGCTGAATTTGAAATCTTTAGCTGGTACTTACACAGGGAGTATCCCTACAAAGTTTCAGCCCCTTAGCTCATTTGGTACCCGAGATCGCTTTCCAGCCAAAAAATTTGCATATTTTTCTAAAGCGTACGTACGCGGTACCCAGGCGCCCATGGGGGATGAAATTAAAACGGGAGGGTCGCGCATGGTATAGGCACATATCCCTGAAGTTTCAGCCTCTAGCTTTTCTGATTCTCGAGTTGAAAGTGGGTGACAAAAAGTGCGAACATACAGACACACACACACACACACACAGCCCCTTCTCAGTATGCGTTTTTGCAATTTACATACATGCATAAACGCATAAAAACGCATATTGCGACGACTCTGTCTATATGTGTGTTCGTCTGTCCGGGTATTTCAACTTGGCAACCGAGCAAGCTCTGGCGGTAAAATTTTACTAGTGAGTTCTCCGGCCAAGTGCCACCCCATGACCGCGGTACCAATCCTCACACAAGTCTGAGCCTCGTACGAGTGTGTGAAGGTTTTGGCAGAAAAATTGCTAACTGGGGCACGAGAAAAACTAGAAAGCAGTAATTGTGTTCCAGATTATGTTCCACATCCACATAAAACTCAAAGATTTCAAATTTAGCTCCCAGGTTTGCGTAGTTCCTGCGTACGGCCCCGTGAGGGTTCCTGGCA